TGTTTGCGATGCTCGAAATACTGAAAGAAAACCATAATTATGGAACTAGGGTGGGGGTTAATATGGATGTATTTCTGCGGAGAACTGACTGTCTTCAGAAAGTTTCGATGACATTTTCTTTTTCCTCTTACCTTCGTTAAATACATATTAAAGGAGTATTAATATGCGCAGCTCATACAGCAATAACCCAGGAAACGCTGCTAGTGTTCCATAAGCGCCACCTGCTGTCAGAGATTGAATTTGCATTTTCATCAGAATCAGAAAGAGCTTTATTGCCAAGTGTGTTTCCTCACGCAAGGAATTCGTCTTGGTGTCAGGAGCTTCCAGTACAGAAAGTATTCTACAGTCATAGTGCAGACATACATATAATTAATGTAATAAAATACTAATAGTAATAATAAAATATTCATTCAGCCCGTCTGATATTTTTGTTTTGTGCAGTTGCTTCATGTTGCATATATTTTTGTTTTTGTTCAAGGTTAGTTTGGCCAGTAACAGAGCAAAATAAACGTTTTATAAATGTAAAAATAAATAAATAAAAGTAATAAAAACTAAATAAATTGGCAACAAGTATGGGAATAGTCTCATTTGATTGTGTAAAATAAAAAAAAAAATATACAAAAATAAATCTGCAATTGGAATTGGTCATGAAAAATTCTGATCAGTGCATCCTTAACTGGAATAGAATTAGACCTACCTGAAAAAGCATGGTTCATTTCAGTTTTATCTTTGAACTATTGTACCTATTTGTGCAAAATGGTTATAATTTCTTATAATACAATGTTACAGTCAACAATGGAAAACAATATGGCTTATTTATTGATTGATTGATTGTGGCAAGGCCTGTGAAAATTTTGCCAGGGCAAGTAAAAAATTTAAACCACTGGCCAAACCGGGCCAGTAGAAAATTTCCTTAGCGTTGAGCCCTGTCAAAATCAGTATCATAACACTTGTACACAGATCTGTAGAACACGTAGGTTACATAATGATATTTAAAAATTAAAAACTTTAAATATGTATTTGAAAAGAAAACAGGATGACTTTGAATATCATCATTGTAAAATTGTGAGGAAGAGCTGAGCAAGACTTGCACATGTATTTCCTGGTCTGAAAGTGACTTCCTGCTTAAACAGGAAGTAATGGATACCAAAAAAAGGTAGATATGTATGTATGTGAAAGGAGAATGTATGCGTGTGACAGTAGAAATGCATGTGTGGGAAAAGAAAATATATATGTGTGAGAGAACAAATGCATGTATGTGAAAGGAGAATGTATGTCTGTGTGTGAGAGAGTAGAAATGTATGCATGTGTAAGAAGAATGTGAGTGTGTGTGAATTTTTCCATTTATGGATGCTCTTTATGGAAGTGTTTTTTGTCTTTGTTGAAAAGTCTTATCAAACATTATTTTTAAACAAAATTTAGACATTTTTAGACATTTAATGAATTTATAGAATATTACTTTTCAATGAAGCAGTGTGTTTAAATGGTGATCTGAGATCAGACTCTTCTTGTCCTTGTGTGTCTCCAGGGTAATGAAGGTGGCCAAGAGCTTCCTGGATCAGGGGAAGAAGCTCGGCTTCGCTGTGGCCAATAAGAACAGCTTTAACCATGACGTGTCTGAGCTGGGTCTGGACGGCAGCAGTGGAGAGCTGCCTCTTGTCGGCATCCGTACTGCCAAGGGAGACAAATACGTCATGAAGGAGGAGTTCTCGTAAGTAGTTTTTTTTTTCTTCTCCCTTTAACAAAGGACCTTGTTTTAAGCAGCAAAAAAAAAATCAATCCTTGTTTGTCTGCAGTCGCGATGGAAAGGCCTTGGAAAAGTTCCTGCAGGATTATTTTGATGGAAACCTGAAGCGTTATCTCAAATCAGAGACTATTCCTGAGAACAACGATGGCCCTGTGAAGGTGCGTCAGGCAATTTTGTTTCTGCATATATATTTTCATACATTTATGTTTTCATAAATATATGTATTTTAAATTCTAGTTCATATAACATTTGTCCTTATTATTCCAGGTTGTTGTGGCTGAGAACTTTGACTCAATTGTAAATGATGAGAGCAAAGATGTTCTCATTGAGTTTTACGCCCCCTGGTGTGGACACTGCAAGAGCCTGGAGCCTAAATTCAAAGAACTCGGAGAGAAGGTACGTTTTTAGAGCTTGGTGTTGTATTGTTCCCTATGAAATATTTACCTGAATGGTCATTTCTTAAATATTATCTTTTATTTTACAGCTTTCCGACGATCCAAACATTGTCATCGCAAAGATGGATGCCACTGCTAATGATGTCCCTTCTTCATATGAAGTTAGAGGGTATGTAGAGACTAAAATTATGCTAGTGCTTTTTCTCTGGCGTAAAAGTTATTGTTTGATTTGTTGCTAATTGGTTTACTCGCAATCTGAACCTTTCGCTTTCAGATTCCCCACAATCTATTTCTCCCCCGCTGGTCAGAAACAAAATCCAAAGAAATATGAGGTTTGTGTTTCCGATTTTATTTTTTAATAAAAAATGTTTTACTTATAGCAGCCATTTTTCTTCAAGAACTCACCAGGGAATCCGTATCGGTGTTACACTAGGGACTGTAACACCAGGACTGTAACACCTAGTCCTTTTATTAAATCTTTAAAAATCTAAACTTCAGTGTTCATTCTACCAAGAAACGTGAATGTAATCAGTCTTGTTTGACCATCAGGGAGGTCGTGAAGTCAGCGACTTTATTTCCTACCTGAAAAGAGAGGCCACAAACACCGTGGTGGTGCAAGAGGACGAGAAGAAATCAAAGAAGAAGAAATCTGAGTTATAAACAATCACAGCCCAACAAGCAAGGAGAGAATTTTTGCAGGAGATGTAAATTATATTCCAATCTTTAGTGAAGCGAGTGCTCTGACCCACGTCACAATGTCGGCCCTCTCTTGGGCCTGCTGCTCTGGGAATGCTGTGGAAGGTTGTGACGGCTAGACTGTGTGATTTTTAGATAAGTGAAAGAAGTACAGATGTCAAATTGAGATTGTTTTCCCTACACTGTACCTTGGAGAGATGCACTTTTGAGACCAATTCTACATGTTTCTTTCTCATGGAAAAGGGGGATTTGGTGAATTATTTTTTCTTTTTTTGTACCTTTTTTTTTTTTTTTTTTTTTCAACGTTTGGAAGGATTGTTAAATAAAAGGCCCACTAAACCTACAATCATGCGGGTTTGAACCTTTTTTTTCCCCCCTTCTTTTTCATAGTTTATTACAATGATTGCATGTGGCAGCCGCATTAAACTTGTAGATATGCAGTTACATTCGAGAACTGTGAATCTTGTACCACTATGAACAAAATACCTTCAGCCATTGGTTTGTTTTAACCAAAAATTGACCTCATCCTTATCTGTCTCACTGCTGTAAGAACATTAGTGACTGATCTCTTGATGCATTTGTTCCAGAATTCTCAAAAAAATACTGCAGAAGCTATAGATAAGCATCTAAAGACTGATGGAACGTTTTCAGCAGTTTTTCCAGGATGTTCCTCAGGTTGTAGAGCTGTTGTTACATGTGAACATATTTCAAATGATGCTCTTTTGTAAATAACTTTTATCAGTTCGATTTATCAGGAAGTCAAATCTTAACCGTCAAAAAATGCCAGGCATATTTCTCTAAAGCAAGTTTTCATGGTATTGTACTTACAATAAAATGGAACTGGAAACAGAGCCACATGGTGCTCTAGTAATGCACTAGATGGTGCGGTTTACACATTGACTCACAAAAGCACATGAGAAACTGATTCTTCTAAGAGAGGCCAAATGCCACTAGCTTCAAGGTTGGAATACGCAACTTTAAAATGACATCATATATGTCGAATATGTAAATAGAGTATACCTGGGCATCATAAACACAAAACAACTGAGGATCACACACTACCAAATTTTCAAGTCGTTCTGGGGTGTGTTTCCCAAAAGCAACTATGGTCGCAAGTTCCGTCGTTACCAATAGAGTAATTCAATGGAACTAACGACCAAAGTATGCTAACTATGCTTTTGGGAAACGCACCCCTGATCAACAAATTCGCAGAGAAACTAGGAGACGCATGAAAAATGTGTTCTAAAATCAGATCAAAATATCAAACATCCTCCGATTGGATGAAATCATATGAAGCTAAAATCTGCAGACATGCTCTGAATTTTGGCAACTAGCATTGACTTTAGATGGCAAATCACAGCAAAAATCTGTGCAAAAACCGGTTACATTATTGGCAGTCGCAGGCTATGCAACTCGTAATCAGGCAGGTACCACATTTGGTTTTGGCATCAACTGGTTTAGTTTATTTAGCAGTAGTTGACCCATAGTTTTAAACCTACCCGAAGACTGCAAGGTTTATATATCAGAAGGATAATTTTCATTTACTAGCAAACGTTACACAAACAACTGAGATACTAACATCACGACTAATAACCCCTTCTATGCGAAACATTTCACCTTGCTTTTTAAGCTGGTTAGATATTTTACTAAAATACCATCATTGATTCAAGTGGCATGCGTAGGTTGAAGAACAACAGTCTTTATTAAAATAATCTGTTTACATTTATTTCACATTGACAAAGATGTCGCGAGCAAGCTGCCAAACATATGCTTCAATAAAATCCACAGAACAAGCAGCACACATAAATAAATCACTAACAAGAGCATTAAAGCTTGATTTCATTAGACTGAAAAAAGAAAAAGAAAAATGTTTCCACCTTATTTTTACAATAATTGTTCAGACCAGTTAAAACTTGCTATGCTGTACTTAACTGATGCCATATGACATACAGTGTAGCATTTGTATAATACAAAATATACAATATTGGGTAATGCATTATTATACAAGCAAATGAGAATAAAGTTAGCTAAAACAGAGAATAAAACAATTATAAAAAGTTTTTGTTATTCTAAAAGCAACTGTGCCAGACAAGGCAACCAAAAGTACTTTTTGTAATGACAGACTTAGTCTAGAAGTTTCTTTCGGCTGTTCGTCCTACTAGGTGTCCTTCGCCTTCTTGACTGGCAAAGAGGAGAGATATCCAGCTCAGACTTTGATCCTGCTGGGAGAAAGTATAAATTGTTATTAACAAACACTTAAAATGAACAAAACCTGATCTGATATTTTCTTCAGTCACTTTTTTATTTTTGGTAATTTTGCTGCTTTTATTTAGATGACTATTAGAAGAAAACATGAGCGTTGAGATCAGAAAACATCTTTTGAAATCTGCATGAGCACCAAAGCTAAATGTATCGAAGCATGTGCAATAAGTGCTACACCAGAGCTCCAACAAGAAAATGCATGTCTAATTTGAAGCAAATAATGCTGAAAATGTCTAATTAAGGCATCTACTCTGACCTATAGCTCTACATACACTTTTCATTGTCTCACCATTAAGTTGTGTTGCTTCATTGATTACAGTTGATTTCTTGTATAACAGAGGTGACTGAGTGAGAGCGAAGATTCCACTGGCTGACACAGGTTTCTTTACTTTAGGGGTGTCAACTGAAAGAGGTTCAAGCCACAACATTTACGAACATGTTACAGAAGCAACAAGGAACAAGCTATGAATTGCACACAAGCTTTACTGTACCTTTTCTGCCCATCCATGCAAACGGTTCAGGCTTCGTAGGGTCTCTAGAATCACAGTCTTGAACCACGGTCTCAGTCCAATCCATGCCTTCCGGTGAGCACTGATGGTCTATAACCTGGCTTGATCTCAAACCCAGTTTTCTTTGACTGACTGGGGTGCTCAGCGACTCCTTGAGTTCTTCCACCCCTTGAATACGGAAAACACCTTCAAGTTCTGGGTCCTCCAACACCCCAGGCTTTTCCAGGAGCGGCACCCCTTTGATGACCTGCTCTTTGCTCCCGCAAGCCTCGATCCGAGCTCTTTTCTTACGAGGCCAACTATTGAGGTTTTCTGGGGTTGACCATCCTCTGCTTTGAGGAGACGGAGTCAGTGGGGACGCCAATGGGGATTGGCTACTTGCCGGATAATGCGTGGGAGTGATCGACTGACATATGTATGTCTGTACACCCTTCCCAGGTGTACCTTTGGCAGGGGTTCCTCGACTGCAGAGTGATGGTGATATGCAGCCAGGATGTCTAGAACATTGTGCAAGAGGGCTGTCGACTTGTGGTGCCTTCACATTTGACACGTTACGGTGCACAAGATGCGAGGCCACGCCCTTGGTTGTACTACTAGGTGCTTCACCTGCATTGAAAGAATTGGTCTTTCTTAACTTTAGCTTAGGCAGGCCAGACGCCTGCATCTCCATCTCCACTTCATAAGTAAGAGGTTGAGGAGTGGACTTCTTTCCACATGCAGGAGTTTGCCTTGTTCTTGGGGTGGAGATCTTTGGTGTTCCCGAGGAGTATCCAAGACGTGCTTCCGCTTCTCGTTGGCGCCGGTCTGGAGTTTGACGGAAGCCGTAGCTTCGGCTCGTCGTGGTAATGGTAGGGGTGGCTTGTTTTCCCTTAAATTCGAAAACCTTAGAGGATCTAGAGGGTTTCCTTGAGAAAGCGATGTTCATCTTAATGCCCCCTGTGAGTTGGGTTTTCACCACTGAGGCCTCAGATATATCAATGCTTTCATCATCTGTGGTAATGCTGAATTCAGAGCAATCAAACTGCTGGGAGTCTGAAGATGATGCCTCTTCTGCTTTTCCATGGTTGATCTCGTTTTGCCCAATCATTTTGTTATCCTGTGGGAATTCTCCTATATTACTAGTGGGTGAACTACATTGATGGTGGATACGTGATCTAGGAGGACCAGAGGATGGTGATGCACTTAATTTTGCTGCAGACAGACCTTTATGAGGCAAAGGGCTGGATCCCGCACTGTCTCGAGACTTGTTAGGAGGCGACGAGGACTCTTTTAAAGGCGTTCTACCAGAGCGAGTGCACATCCTGTGTGTTAAGCTGGGGCTTTTTACAGGAGTTTGTATATTTGGTTTTAATGGTGAAGCACAGAGAGAAGATGGCTCGGAATCATTTTCTTGTGAATCAATGGAAGCAAATTCGCCAGACTTTTCGGTAATCTTGCAAGGTAAGCTCAATGTCCTCCTCATCTTTCCTGATCTCGTAATGGACTGAGATGTTTCTGGATCAACATTTCCAAGGATTTCAAGTGTCCTAGGCATCGTTCCAGGAGATGCCTTGGATTTCCTTTGGGACACCTTGTCAGGTGTTTTGAAAACATTTCTTTCCTCTGGGCTGCTATTCTTGCCAGGTGTAAGCAGCCTTGGTGAGCATCTTTTTGTAAACATCGGAGACTCTGGCACATTGATTGGGTTTTCTGACAGGCGTTTCCGTGGAGATGGAGACCATGTCACATTCTTCTTTGGCGTTCTACCGTTTGGGCTCCTCAGCCAAGCGCCATTAGGAGAAACACAATCCAAGAGGTTTTTCATTGGTGTCTTGAGTATCCCCTTGAGTGGGCTTTTCTTGGGTGTCTCTACCATTAGACTCTTTGCAGCAGGTGACCGAAAAGGGCTCCCTCGCAGGGTCATCCCATTCTCTCCAACTGTCCGGTTTGGGGACAGAGGGGTTCTGCACCCAACTGCAGATCCTACTGGATCAGATCTTAACTTCTGTGGAGTTTTATTTTGATTCTGCAAAATAAATGTATCGCATTAATGCAAAATAGATGACAGGACTTATACAATCAATACTCTTTCAACATTTCATATTTTAATTAACTGTAAGGGATATTACCTCAAAAACTGCAGACCTAAGTGACAACTCTTTGCTGCCTTGATCTTCTGAGGATGCTGTAGTGTGCCGTATGCGACCAGGGGACT